GGAATCTGATCAATTTGGTATCATGAGTACGAATACTTCTCTGCAGCAATCTACTTCATTTTCCTTTTGGTATTATATGCATGGAAGTCAAATTGGAACTTTAGCATTAATTGTTAATGGTCAAACACTATGGGAAAGGAGTGGCCGACAAGGAGTACCAGCATGGTATCAAGCTAACGCTACTTTACCGACTAATGTTCATGTTAATGTACACATTTTTTTGTTTTTGAATATCTCATAGAGTGAATGAAATATGTTTGAATAGATCGCATTTGTCGCCAATCGAACAGGTACTGGCCGATCATCTGATATTGCCATTGATGATATCATTTTGGAAGGAGAACCAAGTGAGAATTGACATCTTGTTAAAATTTCTTTGACAATAAGTATTTTAGTACCTCTTAGTACACGTACAACCAGATCACGTCCAACAACAACACCTCGAACTCGATTCAATGCAAGTTGTGATTTTGATGTTGATAAAGAATTATGTGGCTGGAAAAGTGATTCAATATATGGTTGGAAAGTTATTCATCAAAGAGAACCGAATATCACCATTGGTCCAAATACTGATTATAGTAGTATTAGTATGTACTATAGTCACCGAGAAGAAAAAGATTTAAAAAAAATATGTTTCTGTTACAGTGAGGCCAAATGATGATGGTAAACTGTGTAAAATTCCATATGATGAGAAGGGTACTCAATACTATTGTATATTGAGTAGCAAGCGTATGCGATGTAAAGGAAATGATAACAAATTGATGGATTGTCGAGATGGTAAGATTTAAGTTATTCGAAGATAGTTGTTGAAAATTTTGTATTTTTGTTGTATATTTGATAGGAGGTTTTCTTCAGATTCGAAGTGGTGAATTTGATCAAGTAGGTGAACGTTCACAATTCGAATCTCCAATCCTTGATGCATTATCCGAAGAAGGATGTGTTCAATTTCAATATAATATAGCAGGTAGTGATAATGATTGGTTAAATGTTTATGTTGAAGATTATTGGACCGGTAATCAGTCATGTATGTGGCATAAAAATGGATCCACTGTACCGAACCGATGGATGACAGCTGAAGCACCATTAAAATTAGAGAAAGATGGAAAATATCTAGTATGAATTAGATGTAAATAAATAAATATATATAATTTTATTTCTATGATAGATTGCGTTTGAAGCAAGAAAAGGAGAAGCTGGTGGAATGGGTTTAGTCTCGATTGATCACATTGTTATCTCTCCTACAGCATGTAAGCGAGTTTGTATCACTGTCTTGATTGTTTATTTCATATTGTATATATTATAGGTTCTGGTACATATCCAGTCGAAGAATGTCCTTTTGAGGAGGTGATAATAGCAACGACTATGATGGCCACTACAGAAGGTCTCGAAGTAACAACTACAGCAGCAACGATAACACCGATTAATACTACCGTAACATCATCTCCTACGTTAGCAACAGTTACAAAAACTCCGGAGTCAACAATCGAAATGGTGACAACTGATGATGGAGAACAAAACCGAACAACAACCGTTGACAGTGGGTCAAAAAATACACTGATTTTAGCGATTGTTTTTGGTGTATTGGGTGGTGTAATTGTAGTTTCTGCTGTTGCTGCCTTATTCATTTGGCATTCTACAATACTAAATCGTCTTGGTATCAAACAATCTAACCGTGTAAGAACAGCTCCAACTTATCAAGCAGCATCAGGTGGCACTGTTCAAATCAATGGAACGACGAATGATAATACAAATCTATTATAAACTTTTAAATCATGTTTAAGTTCGTGACTATTTATTGTTAGTATAAAAATAGTTCGTCCATATTGTTAATTGTACGTTTGCTAAATCCACATATTATTAAGTTTGATTATGACTAGAGAAAAAAATATATTTCTTATGAGAAAACCTTCCACTTTAACATTAACATATTATTGAGTATGAAAGAAATCAGAGATATTAGCAGTATGAATTGTATTTAATACTGATACTAATCTTCAACTACTATTTATTATATTTTTAATCATTATTATTATGATCACTATTTCAAGTTTTTAATAAAATCAATATATTAAAAATTTCCTTTTATTTAATGCTGCTTATTGAAATTACAAATATTATATGAGCATTCTTTATAAATGCAAGGAAAATAAAATCTAATAGGTTTGTGATTATAAAATTCAATGAATGCTACTGTTCAGCAATATTTGTTTCATCTAATCGTCTGATTTTACACAAAAAGAAACTATCGACTCAAGAGTCTGATCTACGGTTAGTATTGAGCAATATATTTTTGCTTACCCAAGACATCTTAACATACGTACTGTACTAATCAGATTGTATCCGTTAGTAAAATACCATTATCTGTCTTCTTCACAAAAAAAACGACTTCTTCCCTTCGTTGAAGTACAACGAACATGCACCAAGTTTTATACCTTAAATGGGATCAAAGCAATAAGTTTTGTTTTGTTGTTGTAATACATTACTTTTGTGATTAATGATATAAACAGTGATGATGCATATTCAAGTCGACGGCAAACTGAATGATTGAAGAATCAGAACTTGTTGACAAAGTTTCGAATTCAGTAGTCGAATTCTTGATTTCATCATCGCTTATAGATATAATGAAATACTTCAAAGTCACCATCATTTTATTAAAATTTCATTGGCTCGATTGTTTCTATAAGCGTCTAGAACAGTATACGAAACTTTCTTCTACAATTGCTCAAACCTAATCTTTCATATATCCACAATTTTCAGCTCTTCGTTCATGAATGCATATTAGATTTTGTCATCCACAACGATAATAATGATATGATTGGCAGAATCGTGCCAAAATGTTTCTATATGGTTGTTGTACAGTTTCTCGAACATGAAGATCATGTTCTTTATCGGGTGAACAAACATCTATAAACTTATCTTCTTTATTGAATGCGACTATGATAATCTTGGAAAATTAGAACAATGAGTGGATCTATGAGAAACACACGACGATATACAAAAGTATCGGCGCTATCAGTTAGACGACATGGGTTTTGTAGAGTGTGTTGTAAGGAATTTCTTAGTGATAGTCGCAGCATTATAGCTCTTGTGGAACAAAAGTTATGGACGTTTTACTAGCCCAGTAAAAATAGTAAAGTTTTATCTTTCCCTAGCTATTTTAATCCATCTTGTAAAGCTCACATATTATCTCTTCCACATTCGAAACAGAGGGGGGTGGTTTTCAATGAAAAAAATTGAAAATAGTATGCGTGGAAAACAAAAAAAATATTGCTCAATACAGGGTTTTTCAGATGAGGGACTTTGATCATCTCAGATTACTAGAAAACCTTTCATAACTCCAACTTTTATTCAAAAATATTACTTTGCCACATGGTTCAATAGAACGTGAAATTCTCAACAAGACGAGATGCTTTGTGAATTTTTAGCAACCTAAGGTGACTGAGTTAGATGTTTCACATAATGTATATGTAGGAATTTCTTGTATTTCAGTTTCTGACCAGGCATTCACAAGTATTTTTCCTATTTTCTCTGACAATTTTGAATGGTAGATCCTAGAACTGTCAGCAGTATCTCACTTTGCTTATAATTGAACTCATTATTCAACTATGTGACAAAAAATTCTTTTCAATAAAGTTTGATCTCAAGAGGTTTTCTCATAAACTGAGATAATCAAGGTCCTTACCTTGAAAATTCTGTATCGAGCTAATATTTTTGCCTTCTCATATACTAGCTTAAATGTTCTTTCATTTAAAACAACCTGCCTCCATTTTGAACGCCGAGAAGATAAAGTGTGAGCTTTACAACATCGATTAAAATAGCTTGGAAACAGTAAAACTTCAGTACATTAACTAGACTAGTAAAATGTCCATAACTTTTGTACTGTAAAAGCTATAAAGCTACGACTTTCACAAATAATGTCAGCGCAGCACGTTTCCCAAAACCCATGGTATCCCACCACTGCATTCGATATTTCTCTATATTGTTGTATGTTTGTGATGGATGTTTTTCAATGCTAAACTGGTGCAATTTTGAAGTCCTTTAGAAGCAATAAAATATTCCATTTTTTAGTTTGAGTAATATTTTCGGAATCTCTTTTTCGCTAAACTATTAGAAAACGCTTCAGAAGTAGTAATTTTTATCAGCTCGACAAATTCTATGGCACTACATTGTAATATGAGAGGAACAACTTTTTGTTCGATCTTCGAATTCGAAGCAACTTATAAAAGACAATTTTACAAACTTTGTCTTTTGCCTTATTCATTTTTTTCCCTTGATCTCGCATTTTTTTATTGTTCACAATGACAATGTACGTCATTCTGCAAAGCAACTGTTGCTCAAAAAGTGTTGGCAACTAAAGGACTATCAAAGGACATGTTTAAGAGACAAAGTAAGAATGACGATTTGCTATGCAATAAATTATCTGAAAAAAAACAGTTGCTCTAGAAAGAAAGAGACATTTTTTAGTCTATTCTATGATTGCTTTGCACAGAAAATGCTTAGAAGCACTTTGTAAAGAACTTGCATGAAGAAAATGGCTTCTGGAATTAGACAATATTGTGAAACTTTTCAAGATATTGATCAGCATATCATTACAGCAAGAAAATATCGTTTGGACTCCTTTCATCAAATATGAACCATTCAAAAAGTCGATGCACAATTACAGAGGATTGTGAATAGTGCTACCATGCAACTAGGAAGTTTTTGAAATTTGAATAGAAGCTGAAGTATTTCACTAAGGAAGAATGATAATCAAGCACTTTTTGGATCCTCACATATTGTGGTTTTTACATTGGATTCAAGGCCACTTCTGAAAACACTAAATCCTCATTAAAAAAATTGAAAACTAAAATAAATGCATGAGAGAAAAACCCAAGATCTGATGTTTCATAGAAGGCATGATTTTTTTGTTTGGAACCTCGTTTTGAGCCAAAACTTTCAATGATTTCTGTTATTATGATGAACAAAACTATTGCTAGTGACTGAAGATTTATGAAACAGATGAGTAAACAATAAAAATGTGCTATACTTTCTTCATTCACTTTTAGTGGACAACTTAATAAATATGTTAGAATACATATTTAGATGTAATCGGTGCCGGATATTTGGAACCGAACCGAACCGACCGAATTTTTCAAAATTTCGAACCGAACTGGTCCCATCACTGGCCTCTTTACTACAGTCCCAACATATTCTCAAAATTTTAGGCAATTCGAATATACCTTGCATGAAATCGATTTTTGAGAGGCAAAGATGGCGTAGCCTTGAAGTCACAGTCAGCGTCTAACGGCGCTCAAGGTTCTCTTTTCTGGAGAGAATTCTATCGATTTTTATATAGGTAACAGTGGCTGTGCATAGCGACAACGAAATAGTGTCTTTTTATGATCATAGAGGATACATTCGTTAGTCGAGAAAATAATTGTATGAGATCTGAAAACAAAATTTTTCAACATGTCAGACAGATATATGAATTGATGCATGCGACATAATGTGTAAATTTTAATTTGAGTAAAAAATGAAAAAAAAGCTTCTGATAAGAGAAAAGCGAACTGTTATTGATAGATAGTTTCATATCAATGCAATGACTTTTTTTTTCTGAAGTAAAATTATTATTTAAAAGCATTCATTACTACTCATAGCTCATTTGCTGGCATCCTTCTAAAGAGTAAAGTGACTAGTGGTCATTTCATAGCTTGTCATCAAATTTGACAACATGGCGGACGGACAAGTCAGCAAACAACAAGATATCGAGACTTGCAATACAACTGAACTCGAACACGTACCATCGTCTGGTATTACTCGAGTCAGGAAACAGCAAGTCATAATTTTGCATAACTCTTGTGAACGTTAGCGAAATATCGACTAAAACATTGTAGTGGCTTAATGAACAACCACTTCAAGTCATTGTGTATTTTACACGAAAGCGTCACTACGACCTATGAATTAGGAGAGGAAGGAGCGTCTTTGTTTCCTATTGCAATAGAAGCTTGGAGGATTGCTGAAGACTTTTGTCGAGAGTAGCCATTTAGCATTGCCAATAAGCTTGAAAAAAAAGAACTGCCAACCCTCAAAAAATTCCTTCTTTCTTCTCTTATCCACATGCACACCAACATTTACATGCATAGAATATGAAGAATATTCAAGGGTGTTTTGTGCGCTTCACCTTCAGTATTGAATTTCACAATATTTACCTAGACCTTTTGCTATATAACATTTCATGGAATGTCTTTTCTAGGCACCATTATTTGTTACTCGCAATATTTTACAGATGACTCGCGCAGCAGTCCCTTCCCGAACTTCTCCCATTATTACAAGATAGTTTGCGTCACAGGTTATGGTATCATTACACAATATCAACCGACACACTGATGATACAAAATTTATGTAGTTATGTCTCTTTTCAGTTGTAGAAAAACCAAAGCACGCTCCTGAATTAGTTCAGAGAATGGCGCATTATCTTGTTGATCTGAATTTATTCTTATCTGTCCCGCCCTCAACTAATCAAAATGATCTTCGAGCCGCATATATATCTATCGGATTGTTTATCGTGAGACTTGCTCTGTCATTCATTATACTCATTATCTACACATCAAGAATGAGTGTCATCCAGACCGACACTGTCCGAGACCCTGATTTAAATCAATTCTAACAGCTCTATCTGCAACATTCGCAAATATTGGTATGTCCTTGCAGACAAACATCGATTACCTACAATACGTTTCTTCATATCAATCATACTCTACATCAAGTATGCAGCAGTGCTT